TACCTGAAGCAGATTAGTTATCTTACCATGACTTGGGACAAAATGAACATTGAGACTCTTTACCAAATATTTTCAAACTTAATTTTTAAAAGATGCTAAAGTTAATGTTTTTAGTTAAGGTATAGTTTAAGTATGATTTTGATGTTCATTTTTTATAGTACAGTACTGTAAAGGGTGTTGTAGGAAACCCTCAAGTATCACGGCTCTTGACACTTCACAACAATAGACTTACCTCAGTGTGTGATATAACTTGATGATGTCCCATCATTTGTGTCTCTGTGCATCATGGCCCACATTATCTTATTTCAATGCAAAATGTTTTATAATTTCTAACTGTTCTCATGTGTGACAAATACTGTGTGAGGTATGTATGGTGTACTGGATTCTGGACTATCTGCCAATGTACCATTTATTATTTTCAACTAATGCATCTGCCAAATTCCAACCCTCTGCTCCCAACCATGACAGACAGTAGAGAGTCCAGTATACTTCAGTAATGAATATACTGTATGATGTACTGTATGTATTAATACATACATATGAAATAATGTTGGAGTGACTGTGTATGAGATAAAGTACAGAAGTCAGTATTTGACAAAGTTGTTACAGGCACTTAGAAGCACACACAACGCACTGCTCAATGTCATGTACATCATTATATTCCTCTGTAACTAATACAAACAATAAACTCATTCTTACATTGCTGGTTTTTAAAACACTGTGTAATGGAAGAGTTCTTAAAGCTCCTTCATGCAGGGGATATACTTTACAGCTTGTCCATAAATTATCTTACCTATTTTAGAACTTATCATCATCATCATCAATGTTTTATGGCTATTTTCCTCACTTGCTTGGGTTAGCCGTGGTTACCTGAGGGCAGCTCTTTATGCTACAGTCTCTTGCAGTCTCTCTCAACAGGTTTTTAACTCTTGTCATTTCTTACAACATTACTCCATGTCATTCTTAGCCTCGCCCTATCTCCTCTCTTCCACATTTAGGCTCATGCACCTCTTAACCCAATTGGTCTCATCCATTCTCTCCACATGCTTAAATCATTTTGACCTGCCTCCACACAGAACTTCACCAATACTTTCAGTACCCAGCCACCCTATTAACTCTGAACAGGGCCTCAGAGACTTCCAAATTTGCACTGTTTGTTACTTGAGGTTATTAAGGTTTAGAATGGGTCACATAATTTATGGAAACCCTGTAGATTATTTTATTGGGTACGTGTTAAATGCCGCTAGAACTTCTGTTATTTCTCTCACTATTGTGTGGAGTGGATGAAGATGTAAAAAACCTTAAAGAAAGTGAGAGTATTGGGGAGGCAAGTGTGGAGATCTGAGACAATGAGTAAATAAACCCACACATACTTACTAACATCCTCGACTTACACATACTTACAGTGGATCCCATGAAGATTATAAACCCCAACTTTTTTCACCTGATGATGAAACACCCTTACGTTAACTTAACCTAATCCCAATGTAACATTAGAATGTTTAATCATCAGATGAAATAAGCTGGAGTTGATTAATCTTCTTTTTTTTCTACTACGGGGAATAGCCCACCCGGGCACAGGTCATCGACCCACAACTGGGCCTAGGGGGCGAAAAAATAAGAGTAAAAAGAAATTGAAAATAGGAGAAAAAGACATAATCTACACCACCAAGATGCCAAAAAACCAGCTTTTTGAAGTGAGACCGATTGTAAGAGTATGGAAACACAGAAAAAGACAGAGCATTCCAAATTTTGGCTGTGTGAGGAAAGAAGGATGTATTATACAGTTGTACCCCACTTAACGCGGTCAATTGAACCCAGAGGGTCCCGCGTTAAGTGAAATCTGCATTAAGTGAACAACAGAACATATGGGATTAATTCCAATAGAAACCGGCCCGACCCCCAAACTCCACTTTTTGAAGGCACATACCTATGTTGTAGTAAAAATAACATCTTAATTTTATGATGGTACATGCACACAATTAATACTTAAGAGAAATAGAGAAATACAGTCGCCAAGTTAATGTCCATTCAAATAATGGACTCAACTCCCTCCCACTCTCACTACACTGCCGGCTCTTCCCTCTCAGAGAAATTTTTGGGGGAAAACCACTAAATTTTAATAAATAATACCTCAAACTAAAGTTAGGATAATACAATTGACATTGCTGGATTCCTTGTAAGACCAGGAATATTTTGAATATAAATGTCATATATTTTGCACAAAAGATAACATAGTTACCTAGAGAAAAATTTTTATCTAAAAATTGTATGTTTAATGCAAAATATATGATGTTTATATTCAAAATGATCACCAAATTATAAGAATTCCAGCAATGTAAATTATATTCTGACCCGGTAATTTGTATGAATTTTATGAGCTAAAACAAATATCTTCAGTTAAAAAAAAAAATAATAATCTTCACGACACTATCTGTCAATCAAAGTACCCCACCTTGCATCCCCCCCTCATCCAACCGTGCGGTCAGTCCCAACCCTCCCCCCACCCCCCACCAATCCTCCCTTCCAGAGTTTTTAACATTTAGTATTAAATAATACCTCAGATTAAAGTTAGGATAATATAATTGACATTGCTGGATTCCTTGTAAGACCAGGAATATTTTGAATATAAATGTCATATATTTTGCACAAAAGATAACATAGTTACCTAGAGAAAAATTTTTATCTAAAAATTGTATGTTTAATGCAAAATATATGATGTTTATATTCAAAATGATCACCAAATTATAAGAATTCCAGCAATGTAAATTATATTCTGACCGGGTAATTTGTATGAATTTTATGAGCTAAAACAAATATCTTCAGTTAATAAAAAATCTTCACTCACTATCTGTCAATCAAAGTACCCCACCTTGCCTCCCCTTCCAACCAGCGGTCAGTCCCAACCCTCCCACCCCCCACCAATCCTCCTTCAAGAAGTTTTTAACATTTAGTATTAAATAATACCTCAGATTGTTAGATAATATAATTGACATTGGATTCCTTGTAAGATAGGAATATTTTGAATATAAATGTCATATATTTTGCACAAAAGATAACATATTATTTGAGAAAAATTTTATCTAAAAATTGTATGTTTAATGCAAAAATATGATGTTTATATTCAAAATGATCATCAAATTATAAGAATTCCAGCAATGTAAATTATATTCAGACCGGGTAATTTGTATGAATTTTATGAGCTAAAACAAATATCTTCAGTTAATAAAAAAATAATAATAATTCTTCACGGGGTAACAGATGGTCGGTCGGTCCCTCCCTCCCCCCCACCCCCCACCAACCGTCCCAAGGAGATGTGTGGGATAACCACTAAATTTTAATAAATAATACCTCAAACTAAAGTTAGGATAATATAATTGACATTGCTGGATTCCTTGTAAGACCAGGAATATTTTGAATATAAATGTCATATATTTTGCACAAAAGATAACATAGTTACCTAGAGAAAAAATTTTATCTAAAAATTGTATGTTTAATGCAAAATATATGATGTTTATATTCAAAATGATCACCAAATTATAAGAATTCCAGCAATGTAAATTATATTCTGGCCGGGTAATTTGTATGAATTTTATGAGCTAAAGCAGGCAGTCAGGCAGGGTGGCGGGTGGGGCAAATCTAAAAATAGCGTCTCGAGCCGGACACTCACCGCGTATATGTGGAAAAAATCCGTGTTAAGTGAAAGTTCAGCTCTGGCGAGGCACCGCGTATATGATAAAACGCGTTAAGTGAAACCGCGTTAGGCGGGGTAATACTGTAACGGGTTATTCTAGTGTGACCGACATCCACACAGAAACAGTTGGCACCGCAGGCAAGCCGAGTGTTACGAGCCCACGGCCTTGCCGGCGGTACACAAGATGCCAAATCCACCGAACATTGCCCGTTAAAGTACCTGTAAAAGAGAGAGTGAAGGAACATTGCGGCAAAGAGAAAGGGAAGTGAGATTATTAACTAAAGGAAGATAGTTAATAAGACAAAATGCCTTTGATTCCACCCTATCTAAGAGATGGACAGAAGAGGAGCCACCCCAGGTATGAGAGCAGTATTACAAGTTAGAACAAATGAATTCCTTATAAACTTGAAGCAACTGCTCAAGAGTGAAGTAGCTATGGTATCTGTACAGCATTCCCAGCTTTCATGAGGCAGTTTTAGCAATGTTGTGGATGTGTGGCTTAGCATATCTATTTTAGAATTTTGGCAGAATGATTGCACCCTGAAATGTGATTGGTGGTAGATCATCTAATTTGTAAAGTGTAATCGGTAAATACCGAGTTTCATTACTATTGAGTTTAACCAAATTTCTACCTCCCCATTCGGAGATGCTGCACAGATCCACATTGATAGATGAAATGATAGCTCTAGAAACAGATCTAATTTGAGAATTAGGGGGAAGGGAAAAATGTGAAGAAGAGTGAAGAGTAGAATCATCAGCGTAGGAATGGATAGAATTAGTCATGTGAAGTAAATCATTGATAAAAAGAAGGAAGAGAGTGGGTGAAAGAACAGAACCCTGTGAGACACCACTGTTGGTAGAGAAAGAGCGAGAGATCGATTCCTCGACAACAACTGCCATGGATCGGTTCTCAAAGAAGCTAGAAATCAGAGAATAAAGTTGGGGAGAGAAACCATAAGTGAGAAGGTTAGAAAGCAAAGACTTGTACACAGTATACAAAGTGAATCATTATCAACTACAATGACTTGTAACACTTCTGACAGTTTGGAGACAAAGGTGTTGTGTGTTTAGCAGATCTCATTTACCGACGAATTCTTTCTCTCACCTTAGTAGTCAATCTGGTGATCAGTAACATATCTTACTGTTGCCAGATGCTGACCATTTAAAGGACCTTGATGTACTTGAATGAGCATCAGTACAGTCCAGGTCCAGCCAGGACTTAAAAGTTTTCATTTCGCATTGTCATAACATTTGTTGGATGTGTTGTCATATATCAGTTCACTACTAAGGTATGAAAAACACTGAAGCCATTGCATATGTATATTATTTCATTCTCCTATAAATGTAAATTATAAACAAATGGCTACAGAGCGCAGTCCAACAGAATGCGAGAGTTTGACAGTGGGCGGGGCCACCTGAGCCTCGCCCCACGCTGGTCCAGCAGACCTTTATCCTCCTGAGCTGCAGTGAAGACCTTCACGCTGGCATGACCCTTTCCTCTCAGGCACGGCTTACCTGTCTTAACCAACTGAAGGATGAGTCACTCGTTCCTCAATGGTTATGGTATTCATCCCATCTGACTGACTGTGAGGATGAGTAACCCTTAACTGGTTAGGTAATGAGTCCCTCACTGACTGAGGGCATCTAACCAGTCAACACCATTCATGAGGGTATCTACCAGTCAACACCATCCATGAGAGCATCTAACTAATCAACACCATCCATGACAGCATCTAACTCGTCAACACCATCCATGACAGCATTTAACCAGTCAACACCATCCATGAGGGTATCTAACCAGTCAACACCATTCATGACAGCATCTAACTAGTCAACACCATCCATGACAGCATCTAACCAGTCAACACCATTCATGACAGCATCTAACCAGTCAACACCATCCATGACAGCATCTAACCAGTCAACACCATTCATGACAGCATCTAACCAGTCAACACCATCCATGACAGCATCTAACCAGTCAACACCATCCATGACAGCATCTAACCAGTCAACACCATCCATGACAGCATCTAACCAGTCAACACCATTCATGACAGCATCTAACCAGTCAACACCATCCATGACAGCATCTAACCAGTCTTTGTGGGTTACATCAAGAACATTACAGTCCTGATGGTGGTAAACACGGTAGACCTCACCTCCAGGCTGGTACCAAGGCAAGTTCTCACCTGCAGCTCAGAATTACTTGTTACTTCAAGTATTATTAAACTGTGAGGAAAAACATAACTTAAGCCACAAACAGTTCAAAGACATTTAACAAAAGATTAACTGTTGTTACACCAGGAATAATTTGCATAAATTAATGTTTTATCAGTTATATACATATTAATACATTGTACGAGAAAAATATTACAGTACAGTACAGTACATTGTACAAGAAAAACATATTACATTGTACAAAGAAAAATATTGATACATTGTACAAGGAAAAACATATTATTACATTGTACAAGAAATGAACAATTAATAGTTTGAGAAGACAGATCTGATTAGGTTAAATTATGTCAAAGGACTAATTAAAGCCAGACACAGTACATCAGTCCTGGCTGGGTAATGTAACAGTGAAATAATAGCATTAATACTGGTCATAGGAATTTATAAATAAGTGTATTATAATTGCATTCACAATGAGTGTGTTTTAAGTAATAAGGATTACTGTTAGAATCCTACATATAAAATAATCCACATGTGTTTCACTTTTGACGCACAACGTTAGTGGAACCGTGTCATGGTGCGCATTATATACAGCCTAATAAACAAACTCTTTAATAATATTGCCCAAAAAATAAAATATGTGACGAGATGAAACATTCTGAGCCTCGGATGCAATTCTACCAATTTTTTTGATGGGTTGATGACTGCCTTGCCATTCTTCTGGTGCACTGCTGTAAGTGTTAGAGGTGAGGGAAATAAGTTTGCCTTAGTAACAATGGTTATCACTGTTGAATATAAGTATTTGCCAAAGAAAAGCCTCATTATGATCTTTCACTTCGGATTTTAAAGTCAATAATTTCTGATAACTTTTACTGGCCTAAATTTGTCAGGGGTAGGTAGTGAATTAAGTGTGATATATGAGCTAGAAATATATAAATTTAAATATTTAATTTAATAATATTTTCAGCTAGCATGCAACATGATTTCTCTAAAGAATCTACACTTTCATTTTGTCTCCTAACTGGTGTTAGTGGATATATAGCAGTTGAAAATCACATTTAGTTTTATGATCTTTTTTGTAATTACTTTTGTGTTTTATCTTAAATTAATTATACTGTACTGTATTCAGTATACAAGTCTTTGGACACTCTGTACCTCGTAAAATCATGGAAATGCACTCTACCTTATATAGTCATGGTAACATACTCTACCTCATATACATAGTGTCATGGTAACAGACTCACTCTACCTCATTTAGTTGTCATGGTAATACACTCTACCTCATATAGTTGTCATGGTAATATATATACTCTACCTCATATAGTTGTCATGGTAACACTCTACCTCATATAGTTGTCATGGTAACACTCTACCTCATATAGTTGTCATGGTAACACACTCACTCTACCTCATATAGTTGTCATGGTAATACACTCTACCTCATATAGTTGTCATGGTAACACTCTACCTCTTATAGTTGTCATGGTAATACACTCTACCTCATATAGTTGTCATGGTAATACACTCTACCTCATATAGTTGTCATCGTAACACACTCACTCTACCTCATATAGTTGTCATGGTAATAAACTCTACCTCATATAGTTGTCATGGTAACACTCTACCTCATATAGTTGTCATGGTAATACACTCACTCTACCTCATATAGTTGTCATGGTAATACACTCTACCTCATATAGTTGTCATGGTAACACACTCACTCTACCTCATATAGTTGTCATGGTAACACTCTACCTCATATAGTTGTCATGGTAATACACTCACTCTACCTCATATAGTTGTCATGGTAACACTCTACCTCATATAGTTGTCATGGTAACACACTCACTCTACCTCATATAGTTGTCATGGTAACACTCTACCTCTTATAGTTGTCATGGTAATACACTCTACCTCATATAATTGTCATGGTAACACACTCTACCTTCTAGTTGTCATGGTAACACTCTACATCAATATAGATATAGTAACCTCAACATTGACCGAGATTAATGTCCCAGACCTCAAATATTACAACTAGTGCACCAGAGAAAGACTAGGTCAACATCAGCCACAAACAATAGAAACAATTATCATTTCTCAGACTACTTCACGAGACTTCCAATGTTGTTTTTGAGTCGGGTATGGACGCGTCCACCAAGTGTCTCCCGAATGTCCAACTTAGCCGATGTGATGTGCTACTGACGCCTAAACTAAATTTATTATTTGTGTGTGGTGAGATTAGTGAAGTAAATATTATACTGAAACATTGTCAGTGGATGTTTGAGCAAGTTCTGTCACTACTTATGTGAAGGAAGGTGTACGATGAACCTGGGTTACTAAGCCATGGCAGTCGAGGAGATGTGAGAGACAGCTTCGAACTCTATGTCTTCTTGCTCTTATATACGCGTGATTGTTGGCAAACCATCAGATAATTTGGTGGTATGAGGGACAATCTTCATAGTGTTGAGGTGAGGCGCGTCAACACAGACTCGTGACAACATCCTATTGTTTAAGTCATGTATCTGATACTCTGGCAATTGGTATTGTGATTAAAAATCTAAAGAATGTATAAGAAAATTTATACTTATCCACTGCAGTCCATTATAAGAAGCATTAATATAATTTTATTACATAGGTTTTTTTTTTGGGTGAAGAACTCTGATTTTTAGTGTTTGTTGATGGAAGGTGACAGAAAGTTAGTTGACAGTTTACCCTTCCCTCGTAACACAGAAAGAAACCATTTTTATAACATTAAATGTAATTTACACTTGTAACTGACTCAAGTACAGGAAGAAATTTTAAAATTAAGCAACAAAATATTTATTAGAAATATATAAAAGGAGAAAATAATAAAAATTAAAATTCTCTGCCATTTGCCACTTGTGTAGGTTGACACAACACAGTTGAGACAGGTCAGCTTGTCGAGGAGGCCCTTCACACAACAGAGTGACTAATTCTGTTTGTGCCGCACAGTGATAACACTGGTGACCCCATGCGACCTGAGGCTCCAGCCGGGTGTCGCTCTCCAGCCTAGGTGTTGCCGGATGTGACAACGAGAGCGTCGCCCTCCAGCCTGGGTGTGACAACGAGAGCGTCGCCCTCCAGCCTGGGTGTGACAACGAGAGCGTCGCCCTCCAGCCTGGGTGTGACAACGAAAGCGTAACCCTCCAGCCTGGATGTGACAACGAGAGCGTCGCCCTCCAGCCTGGATGTGACAACGAGAGCGTCGCCCTCCAGCCTGGGTGTGACAACGAGAGCGTCGCCCTCCAGCCTGGGTGTGACAACGAGAGCGTCACCCTCCAGCCTGGGTGTGACAACGAGAGCGTCACCCTCCAGCCTGGGTGTGACAACGAGAGCGTCACCCTCCAGCCTGGGTGTTACCGGGTGTGACAAAAAGGGTCATCCCTGTGTGTCGGGCCAACTGTTAAATTTACAGTTATCTTAGATAAAATATTTGAACGATGGAGGTTTTGGTGGCATACAATACCGGGTTAAGGTTGAAATACTTTTAACACTTTATGCGAACTACAGTATTGTGTGGATGAGAAATGTGTCGACCATATAAGTACATAAACACCAAAACTCTATGATAATATCCAACATAAGAGCTTTTGATTAAAAAGAGCGTGGACAAGGTTAACATGAGCCAAACAAGTTATATAAGAATGAACTGCTTAGGGATATTTCACAGGTGGTTCCATTATGCAGTTTTTTCAGATATTATGTTGTATACAGTACAGTATATTGACTAACTGGACAACTGGTAAATATAATCATCCTTTCACAGGTGATAATTCAAAACCATATTATCCGATTTGAAGTTCACTCAAAAATGTAGTGAACGGTATGATCGTGTACCCGCTTGTCTGCCATGGCGACCAAAGGTTAACACCTGCATGGTCCAACTATAATTACTAGATCTTTTTATCCAAAGTGGAGGAAATCTTTTTGTCGAGGAATTTTGATGTAATGTAACACCTTTTGAGTCATTGTGATCCATCTTCTTCATAAACTAACATTGATAAAAATTAAAACAATTTTGAATATACACTTGAGCAATGGTAAGATCACCTCCACCAGGTTAAGTCAGCTATATGTGTGCGAGCCTTAGGTAGCACTAGGTTGAGCTCGTCTCACATGTCTTGGAGTAGAAAACTGAGCCAAATTACAACAATGCATAAGGCTAAGATGTGCTAACCCTCAGCATACAGTACTAAACACTCAGCATTAACAAGATGACCTATATTCTGTACAAGAAGACAAAGGCAAGAATTATTATAAAGTTTTGCAATAGAAAATAAACTCCTAATGACACAATTATCATCAGTAAATAATTATTAGTGATTGGGCAATGATTATTGTCAGGAGTCACCCACACTTAAAAGTTTTCCTCAGCATCATAAAATACTTAACAAATCTGATTATAGACTTTAACAACAATACTCTGTAATTTACTATAATAACAATGCCATTGACTTCACAAATATCATCAATCTATCATCATTAACAACAAATTGGTATTATGATAATTCACAGTATTAAATTTCCAATACTGAATAATGCAGCATTTGTAGCATTTTCGGGGCAACAGCACAATGTATTCCCCGGTCAGGGTCATATTTTTGAATCCGTCTGTCTGAATATGCAGTGCCCTGACCAGAACGTCTCCCAACCAAAGAGAAACACTCACGCCTCGACACACAGCGTTAAGTCTTGTGTCGTACGATTACTGTACTCGGGGTCTGTTTAGAGCGTACATAAAGTTGTGGCAGTAAGAGCACAACTACAGTATTGGCCGCACCATGAGCACTGGAGCTGTAGTCTGCTGTAGTGCACTTGGAGGACGAGACCAATTCTCTCTGGGCATTTGCAGGTTTCCAACTTATCCAATTTGTTAAATGCATATCAAAGTATTGTTTCACAGAGCATTATTTGCCTCGCACTACAGTACAGGGTATAAACAAACATAAATCGCTTGACTAATACTTCGCTCATAATCTAAGTCACACAGAGTTCTCTTAAGAAGCTTCCTCACCAGAAAAATCAATGTCACTTAATTTCACTTATTAGACGAGATTATTTTGTCTATTCTAAAATACAAAATATTTAAAAGTACATTACTGTATTCTACACTTTGAATTTATAGAGTTGGTTTTTAACTGTTGGAAGAGGTGTCTGCGTGTTGGTAGACCTGTGTTTTGGTAGATCTGTGTTGTTGGTTGACCTGCATCTTTAACATCAACTATGAGGCCCTAATTAAAACCCACTCAAGTTGATGACACACTTACATAGCACTTACAGCCTGGCACTCAAAACTGTGACCTTCTTCTGGCACTGTTCAAGCAGGAGAATGTGACCCCGAGGCAACACAGTGACACTCACATACTGCTCAGAGATAAAGACTTGATGCCAAGGTTCAATACAGTGAGTGGATCAGTGTTCAGTGCCTATAACAGTATCTTCCTACTTGAGTAAGAACAACTGATAATAAAAACTGATTGTTCAATACTGTAGTGTTCTGCGGAGAACTTTAGCTGTAACTATGGCTGTACTGGGTGGGTGGGGGGGGGGGAGGGAGTGGGGTTTAAAATATTAATTATTGTGTGTCAGGGTACAAGCATGTGTGTGTGTGTTTGTGTCACTACATATTTGTCTGTGTGTATGTATGGTTGTGTATCTACATGTATTTATCTTGCACAACATTTTATGTATATTTATAGACACTGTTTAAGTTCAGTTTCACATATCAAAATTGTTATGGCTTTATAGAAAACTTGGCTTATCTAAAGCTCTACTTGTGATTTCCCTAAAGTTTACCCAACTCTCCCGATACTGCCAGATGGCTTTCTTTTTCCTGTGTCTGTCTGTCAGTCTCACATGACGGCCGCTCATGACACAAACACTTTGCGTGGAGGTGGAAGGCGCTGCTGGAACATCAAACCAAGCACTGTCATGTGGTCTCTGGCGAGTGGATACGATGCAGGGAACTCCCTCTCTCCGATGCCATCGCCTAGGGACACAAGGCCCTCAAACGATGCCCTTTTCAAGTATCGTCTTAGGCACCTTGTCATCGGAAGCTAAGAGTCTTGCTTACTTAGGGGAGGATGCTGGGAGGAGGGTGAGAGGATGGGGTACTCATAATCTGGCCCAGATAACCATTTTAGACTTGTAAACGGTGTGTGGCGCGGTAGACGTCGGAAATCTCTTTATCGAGAGGAGTGCGGTCATCGTAGAGAGAGGGAGCTTGGAGGATGATGCCTGCTGTGCCCACCAGCACCGCCAGGGTAAAGATCCACAGGAACAGACGATCCAGCACCATCGCCACATACTTCCAATCTTCCTTAACCTGGAATGTTGACACTTAGTTAGAGGTTGTTTTTGTCACTCATTATTATTATTATTATTATAATTACTGTATTACAGTATTATTATTATTATTATTATTATTATTATTATTATTATTATTATTATTACAGTAGAGTTTTATCATTATTATTACAGTACAGTGTTATTATTATTATAATTATTATTATTATTATTATTATTATTATTATTATAGTCAACTTGAATAAATTGAGTCAGAAAGTGTAGTTAAGTCACCTTAGTGGAATCCTCCTTGAGTCTGGTATGTTCGGCTATGAAGTTGACACACCAGCAAGTGCGATGGACCTCAGGGGAACAGTGAGGGAGGTTGTGTTGGAAGGGGCGGAAAGTGGGGCTCTTGTCTGAGTTCTCCAGAGTGTATGTGTCATCGTGGATGTTGCTTGCCCCATGGATGCGACAAGTGGTTGAGAACGGCCCATCCGTCATCCTGCAACAGGGGGCGTCCCTAGTAAATTGTGACTAGATTAAGTTGGGTTAAGGTGAGTTATTTTTACACGACCTTTATTTACTGTTAAGTCTGTATATAGTTAGTTGTAAGTACAGTAAGTTTGTCTTTACATCACATGACATAAATTACACTGGAAGGTATTAAAGGTTTAAATGGAACATATTTTGTTAGCTTGGAGAAGATTATGTTAGTTTATGATTCTAATTCATTTATTGTGTTTATATAACCAGGTTAAGTGAGTAAATTATTGGTCAATATTTAGCTTTAAGTGAATATAGTAAGATAAGTGAGAGAATTAGTGAGTTATTTAAATTTAATTAACTCACTTAAGAATTTAATTGTCTCATACACATTAGACAAACAACAAGGCGATAGGTTGTAAGTGGAGAGTGATAGATAGATACAGTAGTTTGACTCAGCATGTACTGTATACAAACATTGTAAGTATACAGTTATGCATGTACAGTACATACACAATGCAAGTGTGTATTAGCCCTGTCTAACAGACACCAATACCTATATAAATGTGGGTTACATACATCAGGTTTATATAATTACATCACCCACGGTAACTAGCCCATGAGTAGTGAGTAATCATCAACTGGACATGTGATAGTATCTTCCACTGTGTGCCCTCAGCTTGACTGCTGTTTCTCACCAGTTTGTCTCCTGTCTCTCAGCCATGCAAGACGTGTGTTCATCTAGTTCATTACACATAAGCTTCGTCCTTTATTAATGCTCACAGCTCATAGCTTTAATTAAGGTGATATCGTAGTTAATGTGCAATAGTTTATTTTCTTAATAAATGGAGAAAAGACCATTTGGGTTTGAACACTTAACCCATAAACATTTATGAATGTTACTTTCAGTGCATCTTTAATACTGATTCTACAGACTCTTCATCACTGATTACAACAGGTAAATGGAAGGTAACAAGTGCACAGTTCAGCATGTATATAGACAACACAGGTATACAATTCACAAACAGTAGATGGTACAGGTATATATACAATGTACATAGATCACTAATAAGACAGTACAGTACAGTAATTGATAATAACAGTGACTAGAGCAAAATATAATTAACTAAATCTCTCATTTTTAAATTGGTTAGGTTAGGTAACGTAACATAACGTAACTTAACCTAACCTAACCTATCTTAACGTAACCTAGGTTAGGCAATGTGAGCTTAGGTTAGATTAAGCCATGTGAGGTTAGGTTAGATTAGGTTAAGTAAGTTTAGGATACAATAGGTTAGCTTATAGGTGATATAATGTTAGTTTTAGATTAGGTTAAGTTAGGTTAGGTTAGGTGGAATTAGATTAGGTTACGTTAGGTTTAGTTCGCGTTAGATTGGTGAAATAAAGTAAGGTGGCGAGTCATCAGGTGATCCCTCCCAGTACTGACTGGGGAGAAGTCGTCGTTCCTGGGGGGCGAGGTATCGTAAGAGAGGTCGTTAGTACGATATTAAGCAGTTAATAATGACGAGATCGTTTTCAATAGCCGTACTTACGGGGAGAAGTCGTTCCTGGGTCCTCTGGGTAGTGGGGTGTCGTAGGGGAGGGGGTGGTCGTTGTGTTTGTACATGAGGTCGTCAAACTGGGGCCGGTAGAAGCTGTCTTGAACCTCGTGACCATTACACGTTCGGATCATGACTCGGTTAGGCTCCATGAAGACACTGATGAGGGAGGGAGAGTGTGAGAGAGTGAGGGGGGTGAGGGAGAGTGAGGGGTGAGGGAGAGTGTGAGCGAGTAAGAGAGAGAGGGGGTTGTGGGAGAGTGAGAAAGCGAGAGAGAGGAAGGGGTAATGTGAGAGCGTAAGGGAGAGTGAGGGTGTGGAAGAGTAAGGGAGAGAGAGAGGGGGTGAGAAATAATGGTGGGGGGATGGGGAAGTGTTAGTGCTGGAGAGAGAAAGAGAGAGAGAGAGAGAGAGAGAGAGAGAGACCATAACCACTCACTCAGAAACATAAGACGACCAATTAGAAACCTTTTGTACCCACTTCAACACATAAACATTTTCGAAACCTAAGAAGAAATTCGTTCAAACTCATCTCAACGATTTCTAACACTTTAGAACACGTTTTCAAACCCAGTGAAACTTCTCAGGAAACGTTTGAAACACTAACAGATTTCTCATGGAATTAGAAAACGCGCGAGACCCATTGGAAAACAATATAAACATGTTTGAACGAACTAGAAAACTTTAAGAGCATTAGAATACTTTACAAACAATTTAAACCTATTGGAAATGCACTTGAAAACATTTGGACGCATAAAACACTTTAGAAACCGTTTGATTATACTAGAAACTCATCAGATCATGTTAGAAAACGTTTGATCTTAAAAACTTTAGAAACCACTCGACTAGAACTAGAAACCTGATTTAGAATCCACTATAACACGCTTGAACACCCTTAAGCGCGTTAAAAACCGTTTGAATTTACTAGAAACCAATTAGAACACACTTGTTTTTCGTAGGCCAAGCCAGAACTCTCGAAAGACAATATCCACCCTTTGGAAACCGCTGAATAACGATTGGACGAACTACAGTTCACGAAGAACATTAGAAACAGTAGAAACCACCCGCTGGAAGATGTTAGAAACCAATTAGAACACACCAAAGAGCATTTAGAACACACAGCCACAAACGCTAGTAGAACACAACGCATAAGAACATAGAATAACTGATGAGAACACAGAACACAGGGCTATACATAACAGCGCATAGAACACATAACACATAAAAGGCACTAGTACACAGAACAACGCCTTGGAACACAGCCACAAACAGAACAACCCCTAACAGCGCATTGGAACAAAGAACAGCGCATTAGAACACAGATCAATTCATTAGAACACACGAAAGCACACTGAAACCGACTAAAGAACATAAGAACACACTACAATTTAATAGTTAACACATGAAACATTCTGAACACTAACAGAACACAGCCAAACACGAACGCTGATATATCAAATGGCTTTGTAAGACCATTAAACAGTGATACGTAAATGACGAGCAAAGTAGAAAGCAATCGCGAATGTCACATTAATTGAGGATGGCACGACACTAACCAGTTAGGACTTGGTAAGGAATATGGTCTATAGGGAGACTCGTTCACCCGATATAATTTGCACTTTCTTTTCTAATTTTGCTCTTTTCTTTTCTAGCATAAGTGCGACTATAACTGCTGCAAGAAACTTCCTGTCTCATCTTCTAGCCATTCCTACCGACTGACTGAGAGTCACTAGTTCGTGTTCATGTGTACACGCTCAGGAGAGAAATATCGACAGTAACTATCGAGGGTCCATTCTCAAGTGGGTTTTGCGGTATTATAACTTTTAGTACCGGCAACGAGGCACACAAGACGATAAAATGCATTCACCAAAATGGGCGCTTCCATCCCTTTAATCTCTGCCAGCTAACTATTGTTTATACTTGGCATCGGCTTGGCGGCGCCACAGTCGGGAGTGAACTATACAGCGACTCTTAAGTAGGTGGAACGACGAGTTGAATTGGGTGCTAATAACAGGCTACAGTGCTACTTCCACTCTTCCCTTTATAATCGTATTAAGTTCCTGCGAGCTCTGAACAAATATTTTATATAATAGGCCTATATATAAAAACTTCCACTTCATTTTTTTCTTATTAAGTTCGTGCAAGGCCTTAAAAATATTTTATATAATAGGCCTCTATTTAAATTGTGGTAAATTATCAAAGTACATTGGTACTTTTAATAAAGCAAATATAATTTTTGTCGTGATTAGTATTAAAAAAATCTTTGGCTTTATTATTTTCTGTTATTGCTTCAGTCATTAACAATTATGATAATTTTAATAAACAAATATCATACCTGGATTCTTAAATTGTGGAGTTTTCGAAGATTTTCTGACTCCATAACATTAATTTTCTTGCTTATATCAGGTATGCTTTTGGATTTCTTTTCTGTTGTGGTAGTCTTCCCTCTTGTGATTCCACATAATAGGATTCTCTTTGTACAGGGATATTAATTCAAAAGTTTTCTCCTGTCCAAAGAGCCGTGCTTCACCTTACGAGAGCACTGTACAGACTGCAAACTTGGTTCCTATAGCTGAGAGTTACTGTGAGAGTTGCGGGCGAGCACGTCCACATGATAACGAACTCACAAGACAGTAGCTGGTCGACAGTAGACACGAACTATCTGACAGTCACTTTCAGAACCACGTCCACTTGATAGGAGCGCTGTTGACAGCACTCTCGAGAGCACTTTACTGTCAAGTGGACAAGTGCCTTTAAGTGCTGACCTCAAGCTCTGCCCACCAGCCCTAAGCTCCGCCCGGTAGCCTTAAGCTCCACCCATCAGCCCACTATCAGTGCTAAGTTCTTCCCACTAGCCTTACACTACATCCATCAGCCTTCCGCTCCCCCACCAGCCTTAAAGCTAAGCCCACCAGCCTAAATGTCATGGATGTAAGCGGTGAGTTATAATATGACGCTTTGTCTTGGTCTACATAACGCTGGCAACAATTCAAATATCGTACCTGAGATACTTCTTTATTATTATTATTATTACTGGAACGATTTTAAATTTAACAATAATGATATTTCAATTAAATAAATAATTCATTCAAATATTAATTAATAATCAGAATAAGTTAACGGAGTAAAACATATCGTACACTGGCACCATCTACCATGACATCACTACCAGACATTATTAATGGAGTCCTCACACGTAATTTGTATCACTGTTTGAATATTAATATATAATGGTTTCAATGGTTTTCTTACAACACATACGCAAATGATGTGTACAACCTGCGCGAATTTTTGGGAAAAAATATCACTTAATATGAATTGTCAACTCTCATGCACTACACACACACACACAGAGAATAGATATCTAGATAAAAAAATTTCACTGTGCGCACGCATTTATCTGCATATACTTGGAGAGAGAGAGAGAGAGAGAGAGAGAGAGAGAGAGAGAGAGAGAGAGAGAGAGAGAGAGAGACTATCTCACTGTAAGCACTCATTTATATGCATATACCTGTAAAGCGAGTGAGATAGAAAGAGGCTATCTCCCTGTAAGCAAACATTTAATTGCATCTTCTTAGAGAGAGAGAGAGAGAGAGAGAGAGAGAGAGAGAGAGAGAGAGTCAAGCCTTCTCTATATCAGCATGCAATAAATATCGAAATATACCCGAGAATCTTATTTGTGTTGTGTTGTTAATAGTTTTGAATGGCAGGATGCCATTCAAAATCTCTAACCACTTAACCAGAAACAGGTGTCCTACAGGTGTTCCCGAGAGTTGATCTACAGTACAGGTGTTCCCCAGAGATGATCTACAGTACAGGTGTTCCCGAGATGACATCTGGCAGCACAGGTGTTCCTGAGAGCTGATCTACAGCAGCAGGTGCTCCCAGAGACACCTGGCAGCACAGGTGTTCCTGAGATGATCTACAGTACAGGTGTTCCCGAGAGTTGATCTACAGTACAGGTGTTCCCCAGAGATGATCTACAGTACAGGTGTTCCCCAGAGATGATCTACAGTACAGGTGTTCCCCAGAGTTGATCTACAGTACAGGTGTCCCCCAGAGATGATCTACAGTACAGGTGTTCCCCAGAGATGATCTACAGTACAGGTGTTCCCCAGAGATGATCTACAGTACAGGTGTTCCCCAGAGCTGATCTACAGTACAGGTGTTCCCCAGAGTTGATCTACAGTACAGGTGTTCCCCAGAGTTGATCTACAGTACAGGTGTTCCCCAGAGTTGATCTACAGTACAGGTGTTCCCCAGAGTTGATCTACAGCACAGGTGTTCCCCAGAGATGATCTACAGTACAGGTATTCCCCAGAGATGATCTACAGTACAGGTGTTCCCCAGAGATGATCTACAGTACAGGTGTTCCTCAGAGTTGATCTACAGTACAGGTGTTCCCCAGAGATGATCTACAGTACAGGTGTTCCCCAGAGTTGATCTACAGTACAGGTGTTCCTCAGAGAGTTGATCTACAGTACAGGTGTTCCCCAGAGGTGATCTACAGTACAGGTGTTCCCCAGAGTTGATCTACACACAGGTGTTCCCCAGAGATGATCTACAGTACAGGTATTCCCAGAGATGATCTACAGTACAGGTGTTCCCCAGAGATGATCTACAGTACAGGTGTTCCTCAGAGTTGATCTACATTACAGGTGTTCCCCAGAGATGATCTACAGTACAGGTGTTCCCCAGAGTTGATCTACAGCACAGGTGTTCCCCAGAGATGATCTACAGTACAGGTATTCCCCAGAGATGATCTACAGTACAGGTGTTCCCCAGAGATGATCTACAGCAGGTGTTCCTCAGAGTTGATCTACAGTACAGGTGTTCCCCAGAGATGATCTACAGTACAGGTGTTCCCCAGAGTTGATCTACAGTACAGGTGTTCCCCAGAGTTGATCTACAGTACAGGTGTTCCCAGAGATGATCTACAGTACAGGTGTTCCCCAGAGATGATCTACAGTACAGGTGTTCCCCAGAGATGATCTACAGTACAGGTGTTCCCCAGAGTTGATCTACAGTACAGGTGTTCCCCAGAGTTGATCTACAGTACAGGTGTTCCCCAGAGATGATCTACAGTACAGGTGTTCCCCAGAGATGATCTACAGTACAGGTGTTCCCCAGAGATGATCTACAGTACAGGTGTCCCCAGAGTTGACCACAGTACAGGTGTCCCCAGAGATGATCTACAGTACAGGGTGTTCCCCAGAGATGATCTACAGTACAGTGTTCCCCAGAGATGATCTACAGTACAGGTGTTCCCAGAGATGATCTCACAGTACAGGTGTTCCCAGAGTTGATCTACAGTACAGGTGTTCCCCAGAGTTGATCTACAGTACAGGTTCCCCAGAGATGATCTACAGTACAGGTGTTCCCCAGAGATGATCTACAGTACAGGTGTTCCCCAGAGATGATCTACAGTACAGGTGTTCCCCAGAGATGATCTACAGTACAGGTTCCCCAGAGATGATCTACAGTACAGGTGTTCCCAGAGATGATCTACAGTACAGGTGTTCCCCAGAGATGATCTACAGTACAGGTGTTCCCCAGAGATGATCTACAGTACAGGTGTTCCCCAGAGATGATCTACAGTACAGGTGTCCAGGGTTGTGGTTATCGGTTGCGGCCGCATCCTGCCAATCCTGGGTTTTAATACGTCACAACTACATCACCATGCCGTCATAATATCACCATGACACCACAATAACATGAGCATGACCTCATAACTACACCACTATGGCGTCATAACATTACCCTGGAGTCCCAATAACATCACCATGACGTCACAACATCAACATGACGTCACAACAATATTACTATGACGTCATAACTACGTCATTTGGAAGCATAACACCAACACGTTACACTAATATAAGGTTCACAACATACATGCAAGTACTGTACTAGTGTAGTTAGTACCTAGATCTAGGTGACCTTATGATTTTCTAGGTGACCTGAACACTGCTCAAGACTTTCTAGGTGCTTTAATGACATTCTAAGTGACTTTAAGACCTCTTGGTGAACATCCTAGAACGTTTTACATATCACAGCTCTCTAGATTCTCCTAGGTGGCCTCAGCGCACCTGTAGGCCGTTCTAGGTGACGTCAGAACACCTAGGTGACTACTAGGTGCCCTCATAAACCTAGGTAATTGTTAAGTGGTGATCTCAAAACACCTAAGTGGCTTGCTAGGTGACTGTTAGGTGAACTCAGAACATTTAGGTGACTGTAATGAGACCTCGGAACATCTAGGTGACTAATAGGTGGTGGTAGGTGACCCCAGAACACCTACGTGACTGTTAGGTGACCTCAGAATATCTAGGTGACTTGCTAGGTGACCTCAGAACATCTAGGTGACCCCATAACACATAGGAGATCTGATAGATGACTCCAAAGCACCTAGGTGACTGCTAGATGAACCCAGAACACCTAGGGGATTGCTAGGTGACCTCAGAATATCTAGGTGGCCTTCTAGGTGATTTCAGAATATCTAGGTGACCTCAAAACACCTAAATGACTACTAGGTGACTTCAGTACATATAGATGCCCTGCTAGGTGGTGGTAGGTGACCTAAGTGCCCTGCTAGGTGGTGGTGGACTGGTGGAGGTGCCTGCGTGCCCGCTAGGTGGTGGTAGGTGACCCAAGTGCCCTGCTAGGTGGTGGTAGGTGCCCTGCTAGGTGGTGGTAGGTGCCCTGCTAGGTGGTGGTGGGTGCCCTGCTAGGTGGTGGTGGGTGCCCTGCTAGGTGGTGGTGGGTGCCCTGCTAGGTGGTGGTGGTGCCCTGCTAGGTGGTGGTGGGTGCCCTGCTAGGTGGTGGTGGGTGCCCTGCTAGGTGGTGGTGGGTGCCCTGCTAGGTGGTGGTGGGTGCCCTGCTAGGTGGTGGTGGGTGCCCTGCTAGTGGTGGGGTGCCCTGCTAGGTGGTGGTAGGTGCCCTGCTAGGTGGTGGTGGGTGCCCTGCTAGGTGGTGGTGGTGCCCTGCTAGGTGGTGGTGGGTGCCCTGCTAGGTGGTGGTGGGTGCCCTGCTAGGTGGTGGTAGGTGCCCTGCTAGGTGGTGGTGGTACCCTGCTAGGTGGTGGTAGGTGCCCTGCTAGGTGGTGGTGGGTACCCTGCTAGGGTGGTGGTAGGTGCTGGCCCTGCCAGGTGGTGGTGGGTGCCCTGCCAGGTGGTGGTGGGTGCCCTGCTAGTGGTGGTAGGTGCCCTGCTAGGTGGTGGTGGGTGCCCTGCTAGGTGGTGGTGGGTGCCCTGCTAGGTGGTGGTAGGTGCCCTGCTAGGTGGTGGTGGGTACCCTGCTAGGGGTGGTGGTAGGTGCCCTGCTAGGTGGTGGTGGGTGCCCTGCTAGGTGGTGGTGGGTGCCCTGCTAGGTGGTGGTGGGTGCCCTGCTAGGTGGTGGTAGGTGCCCTGCTAGGTGGTGGTGGGTGCCCTGCTAGGTGGTGGTGGGTGCCCTGCTAGGTGGTGGTAGGTGCCCTGCTAGGGTGGTGGAGGGTGCCCTGCTAGGTGGTGGTGGGTACCCTGCTAGGTGGTGGTGGGTGCCCCAAGGTGGTGGTGGGTGCCCTGCTAGGTGGTGGTGGGTGCCCTGCTAGGTGGTGGTGGGTGCCCTGCTAGGTGGTGGTAGGTGCCCTGCTAGGTGGTGGTAGGTGCCCTGCTAGGTGGTGGTGGTGCCCTGCTAGGTGGTGGTAGGTGCCCTGCTAGGTGGTGGTGGGTGCCCTGCTAGGTGGTGGTGGGTGCCCTGCTAGGTGGTGGTGGGTGCCCTGCTAGGTGGTGGTGGGTGCCCTGCTAGGTGGGTGGTGGGTGCCCTGCTAGGTGGTGGTAGGTGCCCTGCTGGTGGTGGGGTGCCCTGCTAGGTGGTGGTGTCTGCTAGGTGGTGGTGGTGCCCTGCTGGTGGTGGTGGGTGCCCTGCTAGGTGGTGGTGGTGCCCTGCTAGGTGGTGGTAGGTGCCCCTGGTGGTGGTGGGTGCCCTGCTAGGTGGTGGTGGTGGGTGCCCTGCTAGGTGGTGGTAGGTGCCCTGCTAGGTGGTGGTAGGTGCCCTGCTAGGTGGTGGTGGGTGCCCTGCTAGGTGGTGGTAGGTGCCCTGCTAGGTGGTGGTAGGTGCCCTGCTAGGGTGGTGGTGGCACCCTGCTAGGTGGTGGTGGGTGCCCTGCTAGGTGGTGGTAGGTGCCCTGCTAGGTGGTGGTAGGTGCCCTGCTAGGTGGTGGTAGGTGCCCTGCTGGGTGGTGGTGGGTGCCCTGCTAGGTGGTGGTAGGTGCCTGCAGGTGGTGGTGGGTGCCCTGCCAGGGTGGTGGTAGGTGCCCTGCTAGGTGGTGGTGCTGCAGGTGGTGGTGCCCTGCTGGTGGTGGTGGTGCCCTGCAGGTGGTGGTGGGTGCCCTGCTAGGTGGTGGTAGGTGCCCTGCTAGGTGGTGGTAGGTGCCCTGCTAGGGTGGTGGTAGGTGCCCTGCTAGGTGGTGGCAGGTGCCCTGCTAGGTGGTGGGGTGCCCTGCTAGGGTGGTGGCAGGTGCCCTGCTAGGTGGTGGTGGGTGCCCTGCTAGGTGGTGGTAGGTGCCCTGCTAGGTGGTGGTGGGTGCCCGCTAGGTGGTGGTGGTAGGTGCCCTGCTAGGGTGGTGGTAGGTGCCCTGCTAGGTGGTGGTGGGTGCCCTGCTAGGTGTGTGGTGCCCTGCTAGGTGGTGGTAGGTGCCCTGCTAGGTGGTGGTAGGTGCCCTGCTAGGTGGTGGTAGGTGCCCGCTAGGTGGTGGTAGGTGGCCCTGCTAGGTGGTGGTGGGTGCCCTGCAGGTGGTGGTGGGTGCCCTGCTAGGTGGTGGTAGGTGCCCTGCTAGGTGGTGGTGGGTGCCCTAGGGTGGTGGTAGGTGCCCTGCTAGGGTGGGTGGTAGGTGCCCTAGGTGGTGGTGGGTGCCCTGCTAGGTGGTGGTAGGTGGTGCCCTGCCAGGTGGTGGTGGTGCCCTGCTTGGGTGGTGGTAGGTGCCCTGCTAGGTGGTGGGGTGGTGCCCTGCCAGGTGGTGGTGGGCCCTGCTAGGTGGTGGTGGGTGCCCTGCTAGGTGGTGGTAGGTGCCCTGCTAGGTGGTGGTGGTCTGCTAGGTGGTGGTAGGTGCCCTGCTGGGTGGTGGTAGGTGCCCTGCTAGGTGGTGGTAGGTGCCCTGCTAGGTGGTGGTAGGTGCCCTGCTAGGTGGTGGTGGGTGCCCTGCAGGTGGTGGGCCCTGCTAGGTGGTGGTGGGTGCCCTGCTAGGTGGTGGAGGTGCCCTGCGGTGGTGTGGGTGCCCCAGGTGGTGGAGGTGCCCTGCTAGGTGGTGGTAGGTGCCCTGCTAGGTGGTGGGTGCCCTGCTAGGTGGTGGTAGGTGCCCTGCTGGGTGGTGGTGGGTGCCTGCTAGGTGGTGGTGGGGCCCTGCCAGGTGGTGGTGGGTGCCCTGCTAGGTGGTGGTAGGTGCCCCAGGGTGGGTGTGCCCTGCTAGGTGGTGGTAGGTGCCCTGCTAGGTGGTGGTGGTGCCCTGCTAGGTGGTGGTAGGTGCCCTGCTAGGTGGTGGTGGGTGCCCTGCTAGGTGGTGGTAGGTGCCCTGCTAGGTGGTGGTGTGCCCCTGCTAGGTGGTGGTGGGTGCCCTGCTAGGTGGTGGTTGGTCCCTGCTAGGTGGTGGTAGGTGCCCTGCTAGGTGGTGGTAGGTGCCCTGCTAGGTGGTGGTAGGTGCCCTGCTAGGTGGTGGTAGGTGCCCTGCTAGGTGGTGGTAGGGTGCCCTGCTAGGTGGTGGTGGGTGCCCTGCTAGGTGGTGGTGGGTGCCCTGCTAGGTGGTGGTAGGTGCCCTGCTAGGTGGTGGTGGGTGCCCTGCTGGTGGTGTAGGCCTGCGGTGGTGGTGGGTGCCCTGCTAGGTGGTGGTAGGTGCCCTCTGGTGGTGGTAGGTGTGCCCTGCTAGGTGGTGGTGGGTGCCCTGCTAGGTGGTGGCAGGTGCCCTGCTAGGTGGTTCCCCAGGTGGTGGTAGGTGCCCTGCTAGGTGGTGGTAGGTGCCCTGCTAGGTGGTGGTGGGGTGCCCTGCTAGGGTGGTGGTAGGTGCCCTGCTAGGTGGTGGTAGGTGCCCTGCTAGGTGGTGGTAGGTGCCCTGCTGGGTGGAATAGGGAAACATTACCTGTTCAGGGGCTTGGAGTTGCCGTTGGAAGACCACAATCTATAGAGGGAATGGTGCCACAAGGTTAGTAGTGGTGCTAGTGGTGGTGATGGTGGTGCTAGTGTGTTGGTAATGTGGTGGTACTAGTGGTAGTGATGGTGGTTCTAGTGGTGGAGGTGCTAATGGTGGTGGTGCTATGGTGGTGGTGCTAATGGTGGTGGTGCTAATGGTGGTGGTGGTGCTAATGGTGGTGGTGCTAATGGTGATGGTGCTAGTGGTGTAGGTGCTGGTGCTATTGGTTGATTTTGGTGGTGGGGATGATGGCGGTGGTGGCGGTGGTGCTGGTGGTGGTGGTGCTGGTGGTGGTGCTAGTGGTGGTGGTGATTGTGCTAGTGGTGGTGGTGCGTGGTAGTGGCGGTGATGGTGCGTGCTAGTGGTGCTAGAGGTGTTAGAGTTGGTGATGGTGATGATAAGGATGCTAAGAGTGATGGAGATGGTGATAGTTAAAACTAATAGTGGTGCTAGTGGTGATAATGGTGCTAGTGGTGTTTAGTAGTGATAGTGGTGCTAGTGGTGTTAGTGGTGCTAGTGGTGTTAGTAGTGATAATGGTGCTAGTGGTGATAAGTGCTAACTATGATAATGATTTTAGTGATGTTAGTGGTGATAATGGTGTTAGTGGTGATAATGGTGTTAGTGGTGATAATGGTGTTAGTGGTGATAATGGTGTTAGTGGTGATAATGGTGTTAGTGGTGATGTTATGATAGGTGGTGATAATGGTGTTAGTGGTGATATGGTGTTAGTGTGGTGATAATAAGTTAGTGGTGATAATGGTGTTAGTGGTGATAATGGTGTTAGTGGTGATAATGGTGTTAGTGGTGATAATGGTGTTAGTGGTGATAATGGTGTTAGCGGTGATAATGGTGTTAGTAGTGATAATGGTGTTAGCGGTGATAATGGTGTTAGTAGTGATAATGGTGTTAGCGGTGATAATGGTGTTAGTGGTGATAATGGTGTAACGGTGATAATGGTGTTAGTGGTGATAATGGTGTTAGCAGTGATATGGGTGTTAGTGGTGATAATGGTGTTAGCAGTGATAATGGTGTTAGTAGTGATGAATGGTGTTAGCAGTGATATAGGTGTTAGCGGTGATAATGGTGTTAGCAGTGATAATGGTGTTAGTAGTGATAATGGTGTTAGTGTGATAATGGTGTTAGCGGTGATAATGGTGTTAGCGGTGATAATGGTGTTAGCAGTGATAATGGTGTTAGTAGTGATAATGGTGTTAGTAGTGATAATGGTGTTAGCAGTGATATAGGTGTTAGCGGTGATAATGGTGTTAGTGGTGATAATGGTGTTAGCGGTGATAATGGTGTTAGCGGTGATAATGGTGTTAGCAGTGATAATGGTGTTAGTAGTGATAATGGTGTTAGTAGTGATAATGGTGTTAGCGGTGATAATGGTGTTAGCAGTGATAATGGTGTTAGTAGTGATAATGGTGTTAGTGGTGATAATGGTGTTAGCGGTGATAATGGTGTTAGCGGTGATAATGGTGTTAGCAGTGATAATGGTGTTAGCAGTGATATGGTGTTAGTAAGTGAATAGGTGTTAGCGGTGATAATGGTGTTAGTGGTGATATGGTGTTAGCGGTGATAATGGTGTTAGCGGTGATAATGGTGTTAGCGGTGATAATGGTGTTAGTAGTGATAATGGTGTTAGTAGTGATAATGGTGTTAGTAGTGATAATGGTGTTAGCAGATATAGGTGTTAGCGGTGATAATGGTGTTAGCGGTGATAATGGTGTTAGCGGTGATAATGGTGTTAGCGGTGATAATGGTGTTAGCGGTGATAATGGGTGTTAGCGGTGATAATGGTGTTAGTAGTGATAATGGTGTTAGCGGTGATAATGGTGTTAGTGGTGATAATGGTGGTGTTAGCGGTGATAATGGTGTTAGCGGTGATAATGGTGTTAGCGGTGATAATGGTGTTAGTAGTGATAATGGTGTTAGTAGTGATAATGGTGTTAGCAGTGATATAGGTGTTAGCGGTGATAATGGTGTTAGCGGTGATAATGGTGTTAGCGGTGATAATGGTGTTAGCAGTGATAATGGTGTTAGTAGTGATAATGGTGTAGCAGTGATATAGGTGTTAGCGGTGATAATGGTGTGGTGATAATGGTGTTAGCAGTGATATAGGTGTTAGCGGTGATAATGGTGTTAGCAGTGATAATGGTATTAGTGGTGATAATGGTGTTAGCGGTGATAATGGTGTTAGTGGTGATAATGGTGTTAGCAGTGATATAGTGTTAGTGGTGATAATGGTGTTACGGTGATAATGGTGTTAGTGGTGATAATGGTGTTAGCAGGTGATATGAGTAGTGATAATGGTTTTAGCAGTGATAATGGTGTTAGCGGTGATAATGGTGTTGCAGGTGATAATGGTGTTAGTGGTGATAATGGTGTTAGTGGTGATAATGGTGTTAGCAGTGATAATGGTGTTAGCGGTGATATGGGTGTTAGCGGTGATAATGGTGTTAGCGGTGATAATGGTGTTAGTGGTGATAATGGTGTTAGCAGTGATATGGGTGTTAGTGGTGATAATGGTTTTAGCAGTGATAATGGTGTTAGCGGTATAATGGTGTTAGTGTGATAATGGTGTTAGTGGTGATAATGGTGTTAGTGGTGATAATGTTAGCGGTGATAATGGTGTTAGTGGTGATAATGGTGTTAGTGGTGATAATGGTATTAGTGGCGATATGGGTGTTAGCGGTGATAATGGTGTCAGTGGTAATAATGGTGTCAGTGGTAATAATGGTGTTAGCGGTGATAATGGTGTTAGCGGTGATAACGGTGATAATGGTGTTAGCAGTGATAATGGTGTTAGCAGTGATAATGGTGTTAGCAGTGATAATGGTGTTAGCAGTGATAATGGTATTAGTGGCGATATGGGTGTTAGCGGTGATAATGGTGTCAGTGGTAATAATGGTGTCAGTGGTAATAATGGTGTTAGTGGTGATAATGGTGTTAGTGGTGTCAGTGGAAACAAGCCACACTCTCACAGACTAACACGAACATGCTACACAATAGTTGGCCTACACTACATAACAATATTTAAATTCTTCAAAGTTTATAAAGTTTTTTTTTTTATTAATCTAGATTGTTTAATGTTTTATCTATTATGAAAAAATAAAGCCATTTTTTGTACAATATTTTGATTTATATTGTGAAGTTTATATCTGAATATCTATATTTATCCTACGTCTGGCAACACCGAGGATGAATGTGGCAGCTTCCAATTGATTTCATTTATGTAATTTTGTTCCTGAGTTCATTTATATTATTTTTCCCGTTTATTTATTGTACACTATGTTAAATAATGTGTGAACTGAACCCTCAAGTAAATATATTAATACAGTACTTCACTATATTCATTATTACGCTGCCAGGCTTTCAACAACTAATAAGACAACTCAGTTATTTGATATTTGTTAAAGACACCGGTACGTTATATCTCCTCCGGATAAGAGAATAGTTAGGTTAGTCTGAGGGTTATTTTGGTGCCATTTTGGTCACAGGTCACAGGACATTGAGGTTAAAGGTCAATTGTTAAGTGTGTGGGAAGACTGCCACATTCTACCTCGCCAAAAGAATATTAAATTTAACTACTAATAATCTTTATTACTATTAACAAGACTTAATATCTAAAGTTTTTACGCTTAAGTAATTAGCCTAAGATTAATTAATACACATTAAAACACAAATTATAAACAGATCAAGCAAATAATTATACAGAAATAAAACACAAAAAAGTACCCATCTGCCTCTTCTGTCTCAGGTGCAAAGAACACGATCCTGCCGCGTGATTGGTTAATAGAAATTCTCGCATTATGATTGGTTATTTTGACCGCTCTCTCGTTTTGGTTGACCAATAACAGGACACCAACGACACAGGTGCTCGTTGCTGATTAACTAATTGCCATAGATCGTATTCTAATTTATTGAGGTGGGTATAAGTGTCGTATAAATTGTTACTTTGCCATAAGTAGGTATATATAATGTGTATTTTAGTAAATATATATTTTTCTGGTCTAAGACTACATATTGGTTTAGATTTCCAGGTCAAATTATATATATATATATATATATATATATATATATATATATATATATATATATATATATATATATATAAACAAACAGATATATTGGATGCAGCTCAGTATCGTTAGTGTAAACGACCATAAAGATTGTCAGCTATCACTAGCGTCTTCAACGCCTTCTTAAGAGAGATTAAGAGCGGGAGGTGAAGGGAAGTGGAGGGAGGGAAGATAAGAAGGGAGGTGAAGGGAGAGCTGTTGTGTAGGCAGATGAAAGAGGAAATTCGGAGCCATTTTATGGTCTGTTTGACGCCTGAGTCAACCTCATCTTGTGGGAGATTGTCTCTGTCTCTTTCTGTCTATCTTGTGGGAGACTATCTGTTTGGTTGACTGTCTGTCTGTCTCTCACTTGATATAGACCAAACCCATTCTGTGACCAATTACTCGTACTGCCTAAAACATTTTCTTACTCTTCAGTTTATCAGAGGTGTTAATTTAGACCCGTTTTCTGTGGCTTGAGACTCGTTTTCTCTTGTTTTATGGCCACTAAACTTTTAAGACTCTAGCAAGATAATATTAGTTTCAAACAATAAATACCACACTTACATCCACCTCACATAAACGTAGAAAACGGAATGTGACTTTAGCAATGACCAAAATATATAAAATGCTGAGAAAAGTATAATTAATTTGAGATACACTAAAAGGTATATAAAAGTAAGCAGATAAAGTATAATAATTATGATAAAAATAATGCCAACTTATAAGCAAAATGTACAAAAAAGTATGATTATTGTCAATTAATTAAAATACATAGAAAGTCACTTATTAAACAGGTACAAAAGCTAATAATAATAATAATAATAATAATAATAATAATATTAATAATAAAACAATAATAATAATAATGATAAATAATACAAAAATGAATATAACAATAATAATAATACCAGACGTTAATAATAATAATATACATAATAATAATAATAGCCTTATTAACACGCATGAAATAAAATTCACAAAACGAAATAAATAAATAAAGCGCTGAAAGATAATCACAACCATATTAGTAAATTTAGCAGAAAAAGACAATCCGATTATCCGAACAAAACTATCATGACTACCTAAACTTGGTGGTTAACCATCTCTTAAATAACCACAACATTTGGTTAACTTTACTCTTAAACCTAAAACCGGGTTATAGTAATCGAGTTTTCGGATAATCGGGTCTTAGATAAAGATGAATGAAATATATACAGTATATATAATTATAAGAGCATTATATATATAAAATGAGGAGTCGTACCTTTTAAATTCACTGGAGTGTTGTGTTATGGAGGAGGAAAAAAGGTGGGAAAGTTAGTTATGGTGGTGGCCGCTAGAGGCGCTGACTGATGTAAACAATGCTCGGGGGAGGATATCGTACGGCAAACATGATTTAAAAACAATAAAATGCATCCTTAGAACTTATTAAATAAGTTTACTGCAATTTATATGTAATGTAAAAGCTGGAATTTAGTTAATTATTTGTATGGTAGAGAGAGATGTAGGTGATTTATATTTCAGATTTCAGAGATTTGGATTATCAGGTCGAATTGGCAATCCTCCAATCTGTGTTCCATATTATTGGGAGAAACTTATTTTAACTTTATATGTATGTCTTCAGTTAAATATATATATATATAACCTGTTGATCTAGTTTTATAATATTTGTCTTTTAAGAACACACAGAAGCAATTTTTTTAAATAAAACAAGATACAGCTAGTTGGCAACGTCTGGTGCTGCTGGCCGTGCGGCGCTGCCACACGTGCGTTGGTCAATGATTAAGGTATCATTTATAGGGGAAAATTATATTGTCTTACAATATATATATAAAAAGGTATTTTAAAACATCTTTAACAGGAATATATAATACCGGTTTATTTGTGAATTAATTAATGAGTGGCGAAAATGTTTTGTTCCATCAATATTTTAAAAGGTTTTCATATTCAGTTAAATAATCGAAGTGATGAATATTTTAATTATTATTAACACGTCATAAATGACAATTTTCCCGTTTTAAAATAACCAAGAAAATAATAAACTTCGCCCATTTTTTACTTTTTTTTAAATTTAGATAATTTCTTAAAATGGCAAATAGTATAAAAAATGTGTGAAAGTTTTATAGTTTAAAAAAACCCGAAAAAAACCCCGAACGATTTTCATTATATTTTTCTGAAGGATTATTGGAAGTGCAATGTGTACAGCGCGTGTGTACAGCATACATGTGTATACAGCACATGTTTGTATGGCGTGTGTGTATACAACGTGTGTATACAGCATGTGTGTGTATACGGCGTTGCGTACAGCATGGGTGTGTGTGTAAACAATGTATGTGCAGTGTGTTTGTGTATACAATGTGTGCACAGTGTGTGTATGTGTGTGTGTATAAAGCGTTGTGTACAGCATGTGTGTTTATAACGTATGTGTAACAGCAGGTGTGTAAAGAGTGTGTGCGCAGTGTTTTTCTGTGTACAGCGTGTGTATTCGGTGTGTGTGTGTGTGTGTGTTTACAACGTGTGTGTACAAGGTGTGTGCGAACAACGTTGTGTTTAGCATGTTTGTCTGAGCAGTGTGTGTGTGTGTGTGTGTGTGCACGTACAGATCCTCCCACGACCGTCAACACACACTCAGGGCGGACAAATATATGGAACAGAATTACCGAGAAATATATTATCATCTATAAACAACAATATTTAGTAAAAAATTATTCAAGCTTTGCACAATGAAGGGCTGATATCAAGTGTGACATGCAATAGTAAATACTGGAGACGGGAATGGTTAAAAAAAATTAAATAGCTTGGAGGATGTTTGGGTAAAGTGAATTCTCTGGCGTAACGAAGAACAAAAAAAAATTCCAGTGATAAATTCATTTCCTAAACTACCTCACATCTGATTAATTAGTTGAAAAAAAAGTCTCCAGCATCTTGAGGCGATGTGTGTCTAGTCCACACTTATCTAAGAGGCATTATCAAGCATGCGAGAAGTCTAGGGTGTGACGTCACCATGCGTTAGTGTGGCTGGTGGCGTTCGTGTAAGTCATTATGGCCGCTTTATGATACAATGTTTAATACTACTTGTATATTTTAAATCTATTAAGTAAAGTGCATAATTCTAGAAAAAAATCTTAGAATTAAAATTGTACTTCTTACTTAAACATGCGATTGTACATACACAAAAAACCCTGATGTGGACACTTTAGTTCATTAAGTAAAGTGGCGAATGTGCGAACACCGAGCTATCAGGACAACAGTTTAGAGACTTTTTATTCACACAAGTGATTCTAGCGTCTAACTGTACGACCAATTTACTAAAAATGCAGAGCAGTTAGCGGTAAAAAGTGAGTTAGAGGAACGCCGCCGCCACCACACTGAGCCAAGCTGGTCGCTGATGTCGCCCCCCCGCCTGGTTCCCTCTTGTCCTGCACCACGGCAACAGGTTTACACTAGCATACCCCCGGCTCTGATTGGCTGAATACAATAAACCTTCTGATAGAAACCAAACGTAACAAGGCACAATTAAGTGAACGATGACAAAACTAGACGTTCATTGATATCTTATTTGTATAACACAACTTGCTGCCACACGAGTTTTGCTGCCAGAAGTAACAGTAATTTATTGTTCCGCCAGAACACAGCATGAACAATTATCCCTTAAGTCTTATGTATAATTAATGACTAAAATTTTATATAAATAACAAACTTATTTTTGCTATATAATGATTACTGTCAAAATAATATGTACGTGCGAACGATATTTTTTTCCCGCCACGTTTTCCCGAAAAAAATTTTCCGGTACTTTTCCCGGCATTTTTTTCCCGCCAATTCTGCAGGAAGTTTTTGCTGCGTTTTTCAGGTTAAGAAGAATGAGCCAATCAGATGCCGGTGGTAGTGCAGTAGTTAGTGTAAAGGTGTTGGCGCGACACAGGGAGAGACTCAGCTGTTTTGGTTGGTTGTTTACCTTTTGAGACTGCTGCTGTGCCGGGGAGTTGGGAGAAGAACAAGAAGAAGAAGCAGTAGTAAGGCGGCCATTACACCATAACTTATTATTTTTTATGACCTTGTTCATAAATTATATAAAGGCTGCTGGAGTCGACATAAGCTTTTTTAATTAACATAAAAGGTTGACTACGTGACAGCTTGATGGAGGGGAAGGGAGAGGAGGGGAGGGGGGGAGGAGGAGCTGTAGGTGGTGTGATACAGTGTTTTAAAAGGATCATAATAATGGAACTTGGTATTGTTTTGGTTGGTTTAGTTCATTATTAATGGTCTAAAATGGTTGAAATTCATTATAATAATTTAATAAGCAGATTATATCAAATAATTAATGTGAATTTATTGTTGAACAGTTAATATGAGTCAGTTACCACGACACAGATTAATACCTTCATTATTTCTCGTAAATAAAGATGTAAGAGAGACTAACTCGTTGAATTAAGACAAAACGTTATGGTGATAAGAGACTTTACCTTAAAGTTCACTTAACACCAGCCAGGAGAGTCTGTTCTGTAATGTCTCCTGACCGGTGTGTGTGTGTGCGTGAGCCAATGTTGACCGTCTTATAATACAGTATACTGTATATATATATATATATATATATATATATATATATATATATATATATATATATATATATATATATATATATATATATATATATACGTATATAACTCAGTTCAGTTAAGTGTTTAAATTGATTTTACAAAATAAAATAAAAATTAATTATTACAGTTTTCTGGAAATATCTTCAAATTCATAGTAAAAATAACAATAAACAATGATGCCTTCTAAATAATGAATATATATTTACTAATTAAAAATTGTCAGGGTAAAAATGTGTTAATTTAGATACAAGACCAGAAATATGATGGAAGTTTAAAAGAAAACTAACCAGAAATATTAAAAGATTGTATTAGAAGGTTGTGATAAAAGAGAACTTAGAGCTGTATAAAACCTAATATACTGTATAAAATTTATCAGGAGAAAAGAACACAGTGAGTACAACAGTAACACTTAAGACATATTATCTTAGTTAATAAATACAGGTGTACAGCAGGGTGTACAATTAACTGAATGTAAGAAAAATTAACTGGGTATAGGAGGGTGTAGGGAGGTAGGTGTAGGAGGGTGTAGGGAGGTGTAGGGAGGGAGGTGTAGGAAGGTGTAGGGAGGGAGGTGTAGGAGGGTGTAGGTGAGTGTAGGTGTGTGTAGGATGGTGTAGGGAGGTGTAGGAGGGTGTAGGAGGAGGGTGTGGGGAGGGGAGGGTGTAGGAGGGTGTAGGGAGGTGTAGGAGGGTGTAGGAGGGTGTAGGGAGGTGTAGGAGGGTGTAGGAGGGTGTAGGGAGGTGTAGGAGGGTGTAGGAGGGTGTAGGGAGGTGTAGGAAGATGTAGGGAGTGTAGGAGGGTGTAGGAACATGTAGGAGGTGTAAGAGGGTGTGGGGAGGTGTGTAGGGGAGTGTTGGAAGGTGTAGAAGGTGTAGGAAGGTTTAGGAGGATGCAGGGAGGCATAGACTGGTGTATGAAGGTGTATGAGGGTGTAGGTGGGTGTAGGAGGGTGTAGGAAGGTGTATGAGGGTGTAGGTGGGTGTAGATGCATCAACCAATAAACCATCGTAACACTTAATACACTGTACGTACATTCTCAAAACATCTCAAGTCAATAATTAATTTTCCTCTCATTATTAATCTGATCCCGTGATGTTACTCCATTAAAATCGAGTCACTGGCTTATTTTGACGCCATTTTGTATCTGACGTGACTCTCTCTCTGACTACGTTGAGATTTTTTGTTGTTGTTGAGAATGTAGGTGTTTAAACAGGCGGTGGTAGGTAGTGTCCCGCTCTCTCGTGGGTTAATGGTACGTCTGATGGTTAATGGTGTGTCTTTTGGCTAATGGTGGGTCTTATGGTACGTCTTATGGTTAATGGTACGTCTTATGGTTTATGGTACGTCTTATGGTTAATGGTGTGTCTTTTGGCTAATGGTGGGTCTTATGGTTAATGGTGGATCTGATGGTTAATGGTCGGTCTCATGGTTAATGGTGTGTCTTTTGGCTAATGGTGGGTCTTATGGTACGTCTTATGGTTAATGGTGGATCTTATGGTTAATGGTACGTCTTTTGGTTAATGGTGGGTCTTATGGTTAATGGTACGTCTTTTGGTTAATGGTGGGTCTTATGGTACGTCTTATGGTTAATGGTACGTCTTATGGTTAATGGTACGTCTTATGGTTAATGGTACGTCTTATGGTTAATGGTACGTCTTATGGTTAATGGTACGTCTTATGGTTAATGGTGGATCTGATGGTTAATGGTGGGTTTTATGGTTAATGGTACGTCTTTGGTTAATGGTGGTCTTATAATGGTACGTCTTATGGTTAACGGTGATCATGATTAATGGTGGGTCTTATGGTTAATGGTGGGTCTTATGGTTAATGGTGGGTCTTATGGTTAATGGTGGGTCTTATGGTTAATGGTACGTCTTATGGTTAATGGTACGTCTTATGGTTAATGGTGGGTCTTATGGTTAATGGTACGTCTTTTGGTTAACGGTGGATCTTATGGTTAATGGTACGTCTTTTGGTTAATGGTGGGTCTTATGGTTAATGGTGGATCTTATGGTTAATGGCGCCACCTTCATGATGACGTCAGCAGGTGTCAGTCAGTGCACAGGTAACTTAACTCATGTAACAATTTAATTAAGTAAATAGTTAATGACAATGATACTTTAATTCTTTTACTTCATATCTCTACATTAACTCAGCTGGGTTATGCTTTATATAATGGTTAATGCGCCCGTAGATAACAAGAAAATATCCTCGTTAATGTTCTTTCGGTTAATAGAACAGAGGTTAAGCAATGTACTCAAACCGAATAATTTGGGCCAATAAACACGAACACCAGAATTTATCAGTTAATGGAGGTGATTATAATTAGGAGGTGTTCGGACGAGAGGCGAGACACTATGGCCACGGCTTGGACTTAGTGCTGCTACAACAGTCTATATGTTTTAATAACGAGTCTGCTCAAAACTGTAAAATTAATACGATATTTTTGAACAGACTCGAACGTTCACCAGTTTAAGTGTGTTAACAGAACCTAACACTGATTAACACCAACAGACAAACTAACACACTGCCAAATAAATAAAATATATGATAATTTAATAATACCTGCCACCAAACCCGACAACTAACACTCTTTATCCCCACCGATGCTAAAGTCAATGTCCCACCGTATAAAAAATATAAAAAACAAATAGGAAAACTAAAACAATAAATAAACAAAATAAGTATGTTGAATATGTTTTTTTTTCTTTAGTAATATCCTGTTTGGTTTGGTTTAAGGTTAAGTTAGGTTAGGTTAGGTTAAATTTGGTTTTAGGTTAAGGTTAAGGTGGGATCTTGACCCGTAGAGCCAGACAGCGTGACCCAGTGTTAACATACAGTATTAACCCAAGGTCATGCTGTGTTGTAGTCAGCTCTACCCAGCACCAGTGGCTCTGTCAACACCAAGAAGCAGACACGTAGACCAGCAAGCTTATGTTACCATGGTGCTACAACCTGAAAAAATGTCTACCATGATTCTTAACACAGGATTAATTATACCATTGTTGGGGTGATGGTTAGATATTAATGGTAGATTTAAGCTGGGATTAAATACCCATTGTTGTATTAACTTATGCTAGGATTAACTTTATATAGTTATCTTAATATACAACCTGCCGGATATCTACCTACCCCTGCCAGATATCTATCCCCCTGCCAGACACACATCTACCCTGCCACACACCTACCCCTGCCACACACCTACCCCTGCCACACACACATCTACCACTGCCACACATCTACCCCCTGCCACACACCCACCCCTGCCACACACCTACCCCCCTGCCACACACCTACCACTGCCACACACACCTACCCCTTGCCACACACATCTACCCCTGCCACACATCTACCCCTGCCACACACCTACCACTGCCACACACCTACCCTGCCACACCTACCCCTACACATCTACCCTGCCACCCCCTGCCATACACCTACCCCTGCCACACACCCACTCCCTGCCACACATCTACCCTTGCCACACACCTCCACCCCCTGCCACACACCTACCCTTGCCACACATCTACCCCTTGCCACACACCTACCCCTGCCACACACCTCCACCACTGCCACACATCTACCCCTGCCACACATCTACCCCCGCCATACACCTCACCCCTGCCACACATCTACTCCTTGCCACACATCTACCCTTGCCACACACACCCTACCACTGCCACACACCTACCCCTGGCACACATCTACCCTTGCCACACATCTACCCTTGCCACACACCTACCACTGCCACACATCTACCCTTGCCACACACACCTACCCCTGCCACACACCTACCCTTGCCACACACCCAACCCCTGGCACACACATCTACCCTGCTACACATCTACCCCTTGCCACACACCTACCACTGCCACACATCTACCCTTACACACCTACCACTGCCACACATCTACCCTGCCACACACCTACCCCCTGCCACACACACCTACCCTTGCCACACATCTACCCTTGCCACACACCTACCCCCTGCCACACACCTACCACTGCCACACATCTACCCTGCACACATCTACCCCTGCCATACACCTACCCCTGCCACACATCTACCCTTGCCACACACATCTACCCCTGCCATACACCTACCCTACACACATCTACCCTGCCACACACCTACTCCCCTGCCACACACACCTACCACTGCCACACACATCTACCCTTGCCACACATCTACCCCTGCTATACACCTACCCTTGCCACACACTACCCTTGCCACACATCTACCCCTGCCATACACCTGCCACACATCTACCCTTGCCACATCTACCCCCTGCCATACACCTACCCCTGCCACACATCTACCCCTTGCCACACATCTACCCTTGCCACACACACCTACCACTGCCACACACCT